AAAAGCTGCTCTACTGATATTTGTGTGAGAGAATGATTTAGAGAAGGACTGATTTTATGTTTCTGCTGCTCTGAGTATGTTGTAAGTTAAATTTTGAACCAATTGCTCTAGTCAGAGGGGTCTAGCCTGTCCCCTTCATGCCACATTGGATATGCTTTTGCTGAGTAATATATCCTCATTTTTCATTTGTTCCTTTGCAGGCTGTGGGTTACAGTCTAATGCCCAACAACAAGGATGAAGATGGCCTCGTGGTTTTGGTGTTTAACAGAAAAGAAGCAGATATTCGAAGCCAGCAGCAGCAGCTCGTGGAGTCACTACACAAAATTCTGGGGGGAAACCAGACCCTCACTGTCAACATCGAAGGGGTTAAAACGATGCCAGATGACCAGTATGTGAACTTCCCATAGTTCTGCCTTTTTATCCAGTACTGCATGTTGGAGAGGGTTGGTGTTTAAGTGTATTGCCTCCCCTTCTCCTTGATTTTGGATCTGTTCATCCTGAGTTCGATTCGTATCTCTCACTCCTTCATATTGCTTTTTATTAAGGCATTAAACCTTTCCAGAGGTTTAGGTTATTCTCAGTGTAATACTAGTGTCACCATATAATGTAATGGTATGCACAGCTTTCCTCTCTCTGCCTCGCTGTGTTAAACCCTGCAGTTACTGGTACTTCACATCTCAGTGAGCTAAAAGGAGTTAAGAGCCAGCCAGGAGAAGTAGTCAGTTGGATTTTGGGCTGGTTTTGTTGTGTTAGTTCCTGCATGCTGCTGCCCCTTTCCTGACATTCCACACTTTGCCTTGCTCAGGACAGAGGTGATCATTTACGTTGTGGAGCGCTCACCCAACGGCACCTCGAGGAGAGTTCCTGCCACCACCCTCTACGCCCACTTCGAACAAGCCAACATCAAGTCGTCCCTGCAGCAGCTGGGGGTCAGCCTCTCCATGGCCAGGACAGAGCTGTCCCCAGCACAGGTCAAGCAGCTCCTGCAGAACCCTCCTGCCGGTACGTGGGCTCAGCTTTTTGGGCTCTGGGGTAAATGCAGGTGTCAGCCCGCTGGAAAACACCTTCGAAAGCTACAAGAGCTACACACAGTGCACATACAGCTTTGTGTATTATGCCATTTCATAAGATAACTTATCTTTACGTCTATAGCTTTAATATATGTCTGTGTTTAAGATATGAAAAGCTATGAAATTAGGATTGCAAAAGAACTGAGCCTACTCCTGCAGAAAAATCAGAGCTAGTTCCTACTGGGATTACTTTGCCAACTGGTTTTGGGTTTTGATCACTTATTTACTGATTTTTTAATATTTGGCTTTTTTACACAACTTGAAAAGGACAGATGACCCAAGTGTGGAATACAGTGGAAACAGTAGGAATTTCTCCCTTTAATGTATGAATTAGATGATGGGATCACCTATGGTTGTTCTTTCCCCTGCCTTCAAACAAACAGGAGTATATGACAGCCTCTGGGACTGAACTTACTGCTACAGCTCAGGAATGGGACTTTTAAGAACTACCCTCATTTAATTAACCTTAATTTGTGTAACAGTTCAGCATAGTTCATAGGGTTTGTGTATGCCACAGCAATTTTTCCTGCTTAAGAGCTGTAAAATGAGAAAGCTATTCAGATTTATCCATACTAAAAAATTCCTTTGTTTGTTTTTTCCAGGTGTTGATCCTATTATATGGGAACAAGCCAAAGTTGATAATCCTGATCCTGACAAGTAAGTCCAATAGTCTGAGTACTGCAACAAAACTTGGAAAGGGGAGAAAGATAATAACTGCATAGTACCCTCCAGGTAACCTTCAAGAAGCATATTAGAGAAGAACTTGGTCAAGTGTTGATCTCCTTGCAAACACTGAAGATTACTAGAAGTGCCTTTGTTAATCACTTTACCCATTTAGGTGCTTAGGAGCTGTCAGGATAAAGAGCCACTCACATGACTCAGAGCTGTGGTGTCCTCCATGGCATGCACTAGTTATTGTGACTCATATTTTGCAACCATTATGGTTTTTTCCCCTCTTCTTGCAGTTGAAGGTGATGCACCTTTGTACCCTCAGTAGCTACAGATTATTTGGGCTGATTTCTTTACAACAAAGGACTGGGTTGTTGGGAATAGTGAGGATACTAGAGCTTAGCAAAAGAAGATATTTTTATTTATTAGCTTACAAAAGGCCATGATTATCTGTATATGATTATCTTCATATTAGACTCTATTCATAATTATTAATTTATACCACATGTCCAGTAAAAAAAAAAATGTGTTGCAAGAAACATTTGTGTTCTTGTAGGCTTATTCCTGTGCCAATGGTGGGTTTCAAGGAACTGTTGAGAAGATTGAAGGTCCAAGATCAGATGACCAAGCAGCATCAAACTCGATTAGATGTAAGGTTGCTCATCTTTATCATGACTGCTTGCTACTACTGAAGGATGTGCTATTAAAATAAACCTCCCCCTCTGCCTCCTGTGTGTTGAAAACTGAAACCAGAACCATATTCTTAATGTATTTCTTAAATATATCTTTTGCCCAAAAGGGAGCAGCATGGTTTTGCTTTTGTTTCAGGTTCAAGCTTGCTGTGTTGTTAGAGTAAATTAGACTAGCTCAATGAAGGTATACTGGTATGGACTCTAATTAGGCAACCAGTTTTCCAATGCCTTCTGAAAATCCCAGTTGCAGATGGAAATAAATACAAAGCAGAATAGCTGAGGTAGCAGAATGCTTTCTCAAAGCATCTATGGCAAGGACACAAAGTTGCTGGGCTGTGAAACTCCCCATTTCAAATCAGGAGTGACGTGTTCTGTTATCACAAACTTCTCTGACTTCCAACTGCCTCCATGTCCTCTGCAGATAATATCAGAAGATATCAGTGAGCTGCAAAAAAACCAAACGACAACTATGGCAAAAATTGCACAATACAAAAGGAAGCTGATGGCACTTTCTCACAGAACATTACAGGTAACAGGGGTAGCGTAAATAGCTCCTTTGACACACAGTCTAGTGCCAGAGAGGGCAGGAGGACCTGTGCCAGCTTATGCAGAACCAGTGTTGAAAAGGAAGTTCTGACTTCAGCTAAATGGTGTTCATTTAAGTACCAGGCAGAGCTGTTGGGAAAAACTTCAGGTCCGCGGTACTCGGGAACCTTCTCTCTCCCTTCTCAGGGCAGGTCTGTGGCTTCTGGGTGTCTCAGAGCAGCAGACTAAGTGACAGAAAAGTCCAATGAAACCCATGCTGGAAGAAGGGCAAAAAGACATATGAATGGAGTGGTGGGGAAACAGATGGGACAAGTCTTCTCTAATGAACCTAGTAAGGTTTCTTTTATAGGTGTTAATAAAGCAAGAGATCCAAAGGAAAAGTGGTTATGCCATCCAAGCAGATGAGGAGCAGCTCCGTGTACAGCTGGATACAATTCAGTGTGAACTTAATGCACCAACACAGTTCAAGGTAGGTAGTTAATAGAACTCTGCTACTCTTTTCTTACTAAAAAAAAGTTAGTTTTCCAAACCACGCATGTATGTTTGTTGTGGAAAGCTGTCAGCAGTCCAGCAGAGTACCAAGAGTCGCATTGTGCACATTGCTGCATGACCGATAAGTACTTAAGTATTTTTGAGTTCTTGGAAGTATTGGAGTCACGTGCCCTTTGTACATCTTCCCAAACATTTAAAAATGGAATGAGCAGCCATGGTTCCAGTCCTGGTGACTCAAGGAACAGCACATGCTGGAGCTCTGGCAGATGTTTGATTGAAGCCTGTTTCTCCTGCAGGGCAGACTGAATGAGCTCATGTCCCAGATCAGGATGCAGAACCACTTTGGAGCAGTGCGAGCTGAAGAGCGCTACTACATAGATGCAGACCTCTTAAGGGAAATCAAGCAAGTAAGTATGACTGGGTAGAATCCTCTTTGAACTTCATTTAAGCCAGATACACACTTGACTGTACCTAGAATGCCATATTCTTGGAATTGTTTGATGAAGTCCTTTTTGCTGTTCTCAGTGCCAGTGCATCAATGTTATACAAAACCACTCTATGGAGTTCAGCTTTTAGCACAGAAAATGCTGTTATTCCTTCTTCCAAGAAATTATGCCAGGCTTCTCTGTGTGCCAGGGGCACCAGTCATGACACCTTTGGGAAATATTACTTACGGTGTGCAAAGTTGGGCTGTGCTCACACTGTTTTTTTTAACTACCTGCAGCACCTGAAGCAGCAGCAGGAAGGGCTCAGTCACCTAATCAGCATTATCAAGGATGACTTGGAGGACATCAAGCTAATAGAACATGGGCTGAACGAGAGCATTCCCATCAGAGGAGGAGTCTTCAGTTGACTGGATGCTGCTGGGCTTACACAGAACACATTAGTCAAGTTCATGGTTCACCTTCCAAGGCTAAAACTGTTGAGGTAAAATAAAACATATCTTGTAGGAGCAATGGTATTTTGGCTGTTACCTTTAGAATTAGCAAAGCCTCTTCTAAGCTTTTAAAATTGACCTTTGGAAGGTTTATATTTTGTAAAGCTGTATATGCTTTAACAAAAGAAGGAAAACTGAATCTGTTCAGATACTGGTTTACTATAAAACTATATGTACTATTGTACATTTTTTCTTTTTTTCTCTCCTTTTTTTACAACAGCACTGTCCTAGAAATGCACTGCTGAGGGGATTGCTTCACTTGTGACTTGGTTTGTGGAAAGCTTAGCCCCGTTCTGTGTTTCTGTTAAAACAATCAAGTAACATTGTGTAAACAGTTAAGTTAAATCATTACAGGGATGTTAGTTGCCGTAACTATGTTGGTCCCTGCAATACCAGTAGTTTACTGGGGCAAGCTGCAGGAACTTGTTTCCAGTTTCTGTTCTTCCTTTGGACTGCACAGATCTGAAGGTCATGTTTTTATCACTTTACATATGTGAATTATACAGAGCTTTGGTGCCCCTCTAAGTAACAGAATGTCTGGACATTGTCTTCTGCCTTTTTTTAATTGCTCAAGAGTAATAAATTCAGTCTGACTTTGTAATAACTGGTGTGTGATGTTGGCTCTCGGTTACATCAGTGATGCTGCTCACAGCTCCAGGGAAGTGCACTTCACTCTGCTCCAAGCACTGCAAGTCATGGGCACAGAGATGGCACCTGATGGCACAGAGCTGCTGGCAGCCTCAGTCCCCAAACCAAGATACAGAGCCATCTCCCTTACACCCTGCCTGGTAGCAAGTGCTGCAGGGCAGGTACCTACTCCATGCAATGGAGAGCAGTTTTTAACACCCCCATTAAAAAATTCACTGATAATAACTGAAACAAAAGAACTTGTGTTACCTGCAGTAAGAGTTTGTACAGCAGAAACAGAGGAAAAAATAATTTTGTCCATTAGCCACCAAAACAAAATAAATCCCATTCATAAAATTTGATAGATGGAAAAACAAAAATACAGCCTAAGCATGCTGCAGCATGTATAGTCATGAGAGAGTGTTTGTGGAAGCCTAGTTTCATTACAACTGAAAAAAAGTGGGAAAAGGATTAGTTTGCTTTTGAAAGCACAGTTCCAATTAATAGAACATCTCCACTGTGCAATACAGGCTCTAACATGGGCTCTTTAAAGAAATCAAATGACACTAAAATTCTCTTTTTCAGGGGCTGGGGTAGTAGTGTTAAGTGAATTCTTCTGCCATGGTTCCCCTGCTAGTCTGACTGTGCTGCATGTTTGAGATACTTTTTTTTTTTGCTTTGTAAGCTTTTCAACCTCCCCCCCCCACTTCACTCTACTTAAGCTACAGTTGTACCATGCTCTGAAAATATCATGAATGTGAAGGACAGGCTCCCTAACAGGGAGCACTTCCCTCGGTTTTGAAAAAGTAAATTACCTCAATCACTTTCTTAAACAAGACCCTCTGCTACAGACAGTGTTGCACTTCGGATGTGTTTTTTTTTTCTTCACAGTGTTGCTCCACTGCACTTATTTAGTTGCTTCAAACTTGTGGAACAAGCTTACCACAGCAAAGGAACACCAGCAGAAGTAGGTGTCATCACTGTTGCTCACAGAGCTCACAAGCTAGGGAAAACAAGAACAGCCAAGAAACAGCAGTCTAGAAAAAACTGTTTATTAAAAGGAAACCCCTGATCACACAGGTGCTACCTTGTTAAAACCAAGTAATACCTTTACTTCCATTTTACTACTTTTGGATAGACCTGTAACTAAGATAGAAAGTTGCATCTTCCCTTTGCACAGTCATTTCTACTTAAAATATAGCTTCTTGTACAAATGGTCAGAATTGCAGGGCATGTATTTTGCCTGTTGCTTCTCCCTAATGGGTCACAGCTGCTGGTCTCTGCTTGGGGTACGCGCCTTCCCTTTCCCCACTCAGCATCCGCAGGCACTCTGCAGTTGGGTGGGACACAGTCCCGGCTGCTCAGACATGAAGGCATTGGATGTGGCAGCCCCGTGTGGGCTCTCACGCCTGGCACTGCCTGACAAGGCGAAAGGCCTCCAGGAACTCGTTAAAGTCAATGTTCCCATCCTTATTGAAATCGATGCTGCGAACCAAGTCATTGATGCCATCATCCGTGAGCTCAATGTTCATGTGGGAGCTGAACAGCTTCCAGGTCTGCTGGAATTCTTCAAACGAGATAAGACCTGTGGAGAAGCATTTCATATGCTGCAACTCCATCTTCTAGTGTTCAGAACACTGACTAAAACACAACTTAAAGTAGCAAGGAGACATAATACAAATTGTGAGAACAACAGGCAAAGACTATTTTTTCTTTCCCAAAGTAATTTGATGGAGATTACTACTTGAAAGCAGGTAACACTCCAGATCCCAATTACACTGCATTACTGTCACTGCACTCATTACAATTTTTCTGCTGAACTCCTACAGAAAAAAGAATTATTAATTCTCTAGCTGGATTGCACACACTTGAAAACACATCCTGTTTGTGGAAACAGGCAATGACATTTCAGAAGCTTGGGAGGGAGCAGAAGGATCCAAGCCTTAAACAGTTAAATAAAAACACCTTTGTATGTACTAAAGGGAGCCCCAAAGTAGAAGGGAACACAAGGCAGTCACCAACACCCCCTGCACACCTGCTTACCTGAATGGTCCTTGTCTATGATCCTGAATATTGTCTCCAAGTTGGATCTGTTCCGGTAAATGACTTCCAGCAGGCTTGACTGGATGTGCTGAAAGAAAACATGATCAGACTCACTCTACCCTTCTGACAGCCCTCTGTCCTGAGTGGTTACTGCACACCCCCCCATAAACACAAACATTTCTTGCTCTCAAGAATGTGCCAGCAGTGTGTGATAACTGGACCCTCCATGCAACTGCAGTACAGACCATCAGCAGCCTGTCCCTTCTGAACAGCTCTTTTCCAGGCTGTGACCATTGCAGAGCTGGATTTGCTGTGTGTAATTAAGAAACCACAACTCAGAGTGAAACACAGTTTCCCCACCTGAAAGCCTGCATCCAAAGCTACCTCTTGGTAGTCCTTACCTCTTGGCTGCGCTGCTCCATGGCCAGGTCATCCAGCCAGGATTTGTATTCCAGCATGCCATCCTCCGTGCTGCGCACCAGCTGCGGTCTCAGCATTCGCCAGGGCAGGCCCAGGCGCAGGACTGACTCCACTGCCATTGCCCAGTTGCTCAGTGTGATCCTTCCTGGAGGAAAAGAGACATGGAGACTTCTGGGACACTGGCAGCTGAAAGCACATGAAGTGAGGGGGTCTCCCAACCAGCCACTCACTCAACTTTGTCACTTCAACCTTGCCCTACCAGGGAATTAGCTCACACATCCCTCAGCTCAGCTGTACCTGTGTTGTCCTCATCGTAGGCCTTGAACGCGCTGATGAGGGCGGAGGTGTGAGCAAAGAGCTTTTCCCGCAGAGCTCGGAAGGCAGACTCCTCTACTCTGCTGATTCTGGAGGATGCAGAACAGAGAGAAGCATGTGAAGGACTTGCAAGAGAAGCTGCACCTTCCCAGTCCTCTGGCTTGTCTGTGGGTTTCCTAGACCCTCACACAACTGCTCTGCACAGCTACAGCTGCATTTCTGCTCATGGCAAGGCACTGCATGCCCAGGGCCCAGTTCCCCACAGCTGATACAGCAAATCCCCATGTCAATATGTGAAGTAATAAAGCAGAAGGGAACTTCAAAGGTTAAAAGTTAAAAGCTGACTTTGGAAAAAAAAACCTGAAAATCAATCTGTAAAAAAAAAAAATCCCCTTGGGATCTTGTAACACTCCCTCCTCAACCCTTGAGGAGCCTCCCTCTAACTTCTGCACAAGGTTTGAATCCTCCTCGAGGGCTATTATTTAGAAAATCAAGCTGTGGAAGTTCAGCTCCAGAATCAAACTTTGTCAAAGCCCACAAAGTTTTCTCTTCTGGAATTTTGACTTGAATCCAGAGCAACCAGAACACCTTGCCTTTGGGTCATAGTGAGCATATGGGCCGACTTGTTTGCTTGATACTGAACAAAGTGGGGGACGAGGTCCGGTCCCAGCTTCACATAGGCTCCCCTGTTGCTGCCAATCTCATAGTAGTTTGAGGCTGAAAATATGGTCAGCACCTAATCCCAAAAAAGAGAGGCACTTACAGTCAGTACATGCATCCTGTAATATATATGTACATGTAAACAATACATGTGATCCCATCCAAAATCCAGACTGTGAACACATCATGTTTTATGTGGAAAAGGGAGAGTGAGGTTGCAGCTGGCCTGGAAGCCTTACACATGCAAGCTCCACAAGGGCAGCACAGATCTCATGGACCTGTCCACATGTTGGGCTTGTGATTTCACTGTGGTCTCCCAACAAACCCACTGCCTGAAGTAAGAAAGTGCCCCTGATGAAGTCATTGAAGTGACAACACCAAGTCGTCTGAGAGCAGAGCTAGGCTGCAGCAGTTCATTAACACCTTTTGTATGCCATCTTCAGGAACAGCTGCACTAAGTAGGGGCCATGGTACGAGTGGGTTCACAACCTTCCCTGCTGCCCCACACGAGGACATCCTCTACCTGCACAGCCATGTCCCCAGCAGAGCAGAGCAGAACAGAACAGAGCATGTCCCCAGACAGCCCTAAGGGTTGGAAACACTTCAATAACTACCAATAAGGCTGTTCAGTGGTGTTTCATGTACTTAAAGCCCCATTGGAAGAAACTCAGAGTTGAGAGAAGCCACTCCTACAGCAACCCTACCCTGGAAGGATGGAGACACAAGCCATCCCCCTCACACCGACCTTCCGGCTGTGACAGAACTCGTAGCCCTCTTGTTTGCACTCATGGGAGCGGATGAGGAACTGCAAGTTGTACTTCTCAAGGATCTTCTCTGTCACATCAGGCCCAAAGTAGCAGCCGCCACCTCGCACCTTGTTTGCTCTGCAGCCCTCCTGAGGCATGGGGTCACTCCAGAGAATGTCTAAGATCTGCAAGGATTGGAAGAGTTCACAGAATGAAGTGTGCCCACAGCAGATATCACCTGTCAGGGTTTACTAGGCAAATATAGCTCAGTCTCTGAATCCTTGCCTGCACTGCTGCAGTTACCATAGTGCAGAGGAGCAGACATGTTTCCTGCATTCCAGCTGAGCTGTCACAGACCTGGGCCACCTTAGAGATGACAATATTACTGGCCTGAAGCTACAGGCACACCCAAAGTGCCTGGGGAAAGAGAGGTGTCCAAAAATCAGATCTGATACAAGCTTAGTCTTTGCTGCCTCTAAGATGTCCAAGAGCCTTGCTTGTCCTTCTCCATCCCAAAGCACAAGTCCCAGGACAAGAACACCCACCAGATTCTGAGGGCACGAGCAGGCTTAGTATTAAACTCCTTTGTTCTCTACCCAGGACATTCCGCAGCCTCCAGAAATGCAAGTGCTGACTCAGTAACCATTGTCTGGATTAAAGTTTAATCTCTTTAACCCCGACCTCAATAGACAGCTTTACACTGAAAAGATGTGCAGCACTACAATGTCTTATGTAATGTGAAATAAGTACCCATGGTTACAGAGCACGCAGAGGAGAATTACAGACAAGAAAACCAAGGAAACCAAGTCCCCAAGGAGGTAGCACAGGTACCTAATAAAATATCCCCAGGCAGCAGAGATCACCACATGCTCACAGTACAGCCCTTACTGGCCATTTAGCGCAGAAGGATCAACTGCTGCAAGAAGTACCCACAGCCCACCAAGCTCAGGGCCCCACAGACTCCTCACCTGCTGCCACTCCTCCTGATGAGGCTGGCATGGCTCATCCCCATGCTTCAGGGAGACCACGCTGGAGTAGGTGAGCTCCTCTGGCTCCGACTCGCTGATGTCCACCAGCTGGCGGCACGTGTCGATTTGCTCCTGCACCGTCTGCCGGATCCACCTGGAGAACTCCAGCCTGTTGGCCGTGCTGGGAGCCTGGGCTGGCTGGGGCTGCAGAGATAGCCTGGGAGCTGCCTCGTTCCCTGCTGCATCAGCCTCAGATTTGCTCTCCCCGTTTATGTCCTGCATTTCCACTTTTCTATTTGACTCCTTCCTTTTCTTCATTCTTAATACAGAAATAAACTGAAAGAAATGAGAGAAATGGAGCTGATCACACCGCTTGGAAACCCACAGCTCCAGCTGTATCATCTTCCATTGGCTGACCAAGTGACCCAAACCTCCAAGCCCCAATTTCCTTTGCTGCCATCAACTGCTAATTAACTATAGGAGATATTAGCACCTCTTGGATGTGCCATTCTGGGTTTACAGCTGGGCCCCATACCCATCAGATCTCTTTATGGACTCCATGCTGCTCAGACAGCACAAAAGGGAGAGCACAGGGATTTAATCTGCAATGGAACTACGCTGCAGAACAAAGGATGGGAAGAAGGAAATAAAACCTACTTTGTCCCTTTGAATTTTCTCAAGCATGTCCAGGTCAGTGGTGTCAGAGATGCCCCCATGTAGAATAAGGACTTTCTCATCAATCAGGGTGGCCAGGGGCAGCCAGCAGAAGACATTTTGGAACATCCTTAAGATTTTCTTCCCATGCACCTGGGAGGGCAGGTGGAAAGGAAAAGATGAAGCATCCACTCTTCAAAAGTCTCACACATAAAGGAGACACAAACATATGCCTACCTTGTATTTCTGCATCACTTCCTTGGTGAAGCCATAGCTAAAGGAACAGGAGAAAGGCAGTTGAGTGGGATGTCACACAACCCTTGACATGGTGCTCAGCCCCACACAGAACCCGTACCGTAAGTTGACCATGTGGTCCTCGTGGTTCCCACGGTTGAGGTGAACCTCCTTTGGATAGATCAACAGGAAGGTAAAGAGGATGATGAGGATCTCAAGGGACTGTTTGCCTCTGTCTACAAAGTCTCCGTTGAACACATAGGACTTGGAAGGGGAAGGAAGGCCATTCTGTAAAAGCAAGGAACAGGTGGATGTTACAAGGGAGGCCTCCCCGTGGTCTCCATATGCCTCCCCCCCAGCTGCACAGTCTGTCACTCCCGTCCCAGGTTACCTTATACAATACACATCCTGACTTAGCTTTATCCTGTAGGGCCCCTGTGCCAAAAGCAGTGGAAGTTGGAAGTCAGCAAAGGTTGCCATTGGTATCAGCACTCAAAAAATGCCCTCTGGCACTTCCAAAATGGACATGGATATCAGATTTCCAAGTCACCAAGGGAATAAGCTAGCTGCTGCTTTATGAAGCCTTTTAAAACTAATTAAACTGACCTGGAGAACTGGACATGAAGGGCCCCATTTTGCAAACACTTCTCAGCATGACCCATGCGATACCTCTCGCAATGCCTGGCCAGCCTCACTCTCCAAATTCGGTGCCTACCTTATAAAATATGAGGAACAAGTCATCCAGCTGGCCATGCAAGTCTCCTAAGAGGCACAAAGACAAGTCAGTGTGTTTACCTTGAACTTAAAAAGACACTAATAACTAACTTCCTATGAAATATATCCTTTATAAGTTAACAACCATTGAAACACTTTGGGAAGTGCAAAGTCCAAGTTTCCTTACACTAAGGCAATGTGCCTGGAGGAAAAGGACATGATGTAAGGTTTGAGCTGAAGCCTCAAAAGGACAGCTAAAAACATACACCAGCTGCTGAACAGTGACTTAGAAATTTTGTTTATCTCTTGCAGTGACAACATGGCACAAGATTGTTATTTTGTATGCAAAGCTTTCTCCCACATAATGACAATCTTAACTAAATTCTCATTTAACATGATACTGGAGAGAGAAAGGTTTGTTTTCCAGAAGCTGACTGCATGCAGAAGTTTTGAGGCCAGTCCTCGACTGGGACAGTTTCTGTGATTTAGTAAAACTTCTCCAAGTTTGGGGTGACAGAACAAAGACAACCCAGGTATTTCAGACAGACAGTTGCCTCTCAGTGCATCACACGTCTTCCTTACAGACAGCATTTGTGTTTCATGTTCCATGTCAAATACAGAGGAGGGCATTGTGCTCTCCCTACCATTCCATGCCTTTCCCACCGCTCCCACGTGAGCATCCCACAGCCTCTGACGTACCACACACAGTGACCTCCTCGCTGTAGCAGGTGGAGACATGGCTGATGTTTGGCAGCTGCTTGAGGTGCTTCCTGGTCTCATGCAGAAGGTTTAAGACATAGCGAGCGTGGAGCTGCTACTGGGAGAAAGCCAAGGGATTAAAGCAGGAAATCAGTGGCCTCTGAGCAGCACTGCGGCTCTGTCTGCAAAGGCCCCACCAGGACAGTGGTGGGAGAAACTCGCCCTGAGAAATTCCACAGAAATTCCAGCCCAGTATCACAGGTAAGAGGCTGCTCCTCTAGATCCTTCTTAGTTTTTCCACATTAAACCAAGCCATGAGTTTCCATGTGTCCTGCAGAAATATATTTGCTCAAAGCCAAGGTGTAAGCATTTAATATAGTCAGGACGCAAGACATTTGGTTTGGGAATTGGTTTTTTTTGGAGAAGGGATGTTTTGGCCTATTTTGCAGTTCAGCACCTTGACTGAAGATGGCAGCAGAACACCGCAGTTGTACGAGGGATTGTTTTGTTAGTGCTGCTGAAGTGGTACTGGACTTCCTCAAAGACCTCACGATTTACATTTTAAATGCAAGTCAAAGTTGTGTGGCACAAAACATTTTAATTGGCTGTTTCCATCTGGGCCACGCTATGCTTTTTTACAAATACAAAAATTTCAACAAAAAATGAGGAAAAGATTCAACATGAGCTGTTGTGGATTTCTTCCTTTAGAAATAAAATTCAGGTTGATACTGGTACATGCCCCCATTTAAAGTTTTCAGTTTTGTCAGAATTGCTTTCAGAAAGAAAAACATTCCCATGGCAGTGGAAAATATCATATCATTTCCATCTCCCTCTGTTTAACAGCCTGCCAGCTCATTACACTCCAGTCAGTTTAAATTGTTGGGAAGGCTAAAACCAAGTTATCTATCCTACACCCCCACCGAGAAGAGGAAAGCGTAATTCCTGTTGGGATCCTTACTTGTTTCTGTTTGAAAGCTTCCAGCAAGGCAGTTGCATGGTGAGGAAGGAGTGGGAAAGAGAGATGGGGTCCAGTGTAGGAGTCTGGCACCTCTATGGATTCATAGTCACAGTATTTTTCCAGCTCTGCCTCTTTGTAGCTTTCTCCACTTATGAACATGCGACTGATAAAATCCCCTGGATGGCAGACCAGGGAGTTTAATTGATTTTTTTCCAAAGAGAGAGACAAGAAAAAGTTGATTAGTTCAAGGTACCATTCTAGTAATGTTCAGAGAAAAGCTGTTTGGTTCAGCTGCAATTCAGCCCCCACAAAGCCTGAGTCCCCATTTGAAACCGCTACACAATTTGCAGTGAGGGAAAGGCTATAGGGACAAAATTTCTCTGCCTATGTGTCAGGCAAGATGGATTCTTGCTTCAGAAATGGCCTCTGCAAAGCCCTGCTTAGCAGGAATCATGAGACCCCACCTGCATCCAGCTCTGGATGTTTCACAGGGAAACTTACTCTCTTTGCTGCTGCTTGGTGTGAACTGCTCCATGAGGTAACTGAAGAAGTTGTGAAGCTGCAAGAGAGAGAGTCCATCATTCATCCTGGAATTAAATTCTGCAGAGTTGCAACTTAGCATGATTATCTTTCTGAAACTGTTATGACTGCCCTTCTAATGTTGTCTGGTACGTAAAACAAATCACGCTCTACCAATGCAAGTTTGGAATACCTTGTGATGAAGGTATTCCAAAAAAATAGTAGCTTTACCTGCAGCCAAACAGGCACAAATACAGCTACAAGCCCTCCCTTCTCCTTACCTGACAGCAAGGCGGCCATCTAAGAAAATCTCTCATAACTTCAGGTTTCATCAGACACAAGCAGGCAGGGATTCAAACAGGGGAGCATGAAACCCAGCCTTTAGCCCACTGAAGCACTTATGGGGTTACCAGCCAGCAGACAGAACCAAGCAAGCCTGTGGCACAGGAAACACCTTGCTATGTGTTTCCCTCCTTCCTTGGCACCATACCTTGATCTGGTCCTGCTCACAGGCATACTCAATGGATTGGAAGATTCTCCAGGTGCAGCGGCGGCGCATCTCCAGCCGAGCAACATAGCGCCGATACCACTGCTGGATCAAAACAGCTGCCTTGAAAGCTGGGGGACAAACAGAACTCAGCTGAGGTACCCTGTTACTGCTCCTTCCCCAGTCCTGAAAACTGTAAAGCAACCTCCCTTTTTCAGGAAAAGTCCTCACTAATTGTATTATGACGCCCAAATATTAAGGGTAATAAATCATCCACTTTTCAACACATCACAAGAGGTTGACCTGATCCTGCCTGACCAGAGACCTCTGAAGCACTCCTAGCCACCACTGCTGGCTTCTCAGCACCTCCATTAACAGCTTAAAGATCCAAACACATTCTTCAGTATTAATAGACAGTTCCTTTCCATCTCCCTTGATCATCTTCATGTCCATCTTAGAGTCTCTGGGTGCCAAGGCTTCAAGAAATCAGAAATTTGACCTGGGCCACACAAAGAGATGGGAGGAAATAAGACACCAAGTCCCCTTCCAGAGCCTTAGAAATACAGGGTTTGTCTACCTCTCTTTATGCCAGATAAATACCTCAGCTTTTGCAGTTCTGGAAGAACTTGAGGGAACCTATTGTAGCATAAATGTTAACATACCATTACCTCACAATAAAGACTAAATTACCACCCACAGTGAAAAAAAGGGAAACACAGCTTTGGCCACTTAAGGAATGAGACAGCAGGAATTTCCAGCTGCCTGTTTGTGGTTCAATCCATCACCAGCACCAGGCACTTCTTTCAGAATGACAGCTGTTTGCCCTGATCTTTGCAACATAATCATTCCTCTGCATTTCCCCACTTCCAGTGTTTCATTAAAAGATTATTTCAGTTAAGGCGTGTGCATATTTAGATTCAAGTACACTGGTACAGTTTCCCATTTCTTTTTTCAAGTTCTGCCACAGAACTTTATGTACCTCTAGAAACACTTCCATCCTCCCTAACTGGCCTTGACACCACTTGCACCAGCTCTGCTACTTGGCATTTCTCTTCTGATTACACTGTGTCCCTTCCCGTTTCTTTCTGGATCCCTACCCTTGAGCCCTGTGCTTAAAACATTTTCTAACAATGCTTCTCCATCATCTTGAAATGAGGGTGGGAGGGATGGCTACTCTAACCACAGGCTGGCCCTGAAATCTAGTGGAAACAACTGAGTTAGGCAGCTAGCCCTGCTGCAGGTGGTTTATTCCCTTGGCATTATGGTTTGTGAGAGGGCCCTGTCACATTCACCAAAGCAGAGACAGCAATGCAGAGTGCAGGGGGAAAAAAACTTGATTAAGGAAATCCCCCACCCCTACCCAAAAGGCTGCTCCAGGCTTGCAAGAGACAAAGAGATCATATTAATTCAATTAGCTTGTATTAGTTACATAACATAAACCACCCTTCATGTACTCCAGCAGGAAACAGTGACCTCTCCCTAGAGAAGATATCCTGATGGCTTACATATTGAAAATAATAATCCTTTTAAATATGGTTCTGTTTCAGCACTGGGAATTGCAGAGCACAAGAAGAAAAGTGTTACAGCTGCTGTGCAGCAGGGAACTGAATCACAGTGAAGTCGTGGGCAAGAAGGTAAGACTTGGCCAGTTATTCAAGTATAACTTCTGTATTCTGTGCCTGAGCCTTCCCTCATGTTGAGCAAATGCTTACTGGTCTACTGGGCTTGGAAAGAAATTGCTAGTGGTGACTCCACACATGCCAATCAAAACCAGATCCTTTGAAACAGAAAAAATAGAACTTAGGGAAGACACATTATCAAGTGCACATATATCACCATCCACAGCAGATGGGCAAGGCACTGTTTTTTTATTCTGCTTTTACATAGACTGACTCTGCAATACCTGCAAGGGCAGTTATTCTAATTTACCAGCTTACCTGGGTGAGTTTCACCTGGCAGGGTTTGCAGCAGTTTAGATAAAACTAATCAGAAAGGGAGAGAAAGATTAATCCACATTTTATGAAGGTCCAAGCCATGTATCATGATAAGCTCCTGAAAGCATGCCAAAATACGCACTCAAGCCAAAATATGAACACTTGTGTAAGCAGCATAGCTCACACATCAGCTTACAGGAGGGATTCCCCATCCCCTTCTTCACTCAAGGGCAGGGCCAGTTTAACAGCTCTGCTGGCTACACTTTCCATAAGGAACAGCCCCTGGACCTGGTACAGGTAAGACAGGATGACACCTGGCACATTGCATGTGGGTGTAAAGTCCTAAGCAGCTCCTCATCTGCAGATCACCAGATCTGAAGGACTGAGAACCAAAGGTAAGAAATTCAGAGAGGTTTTACTGCCATGGTAAACTGTTGCTGAAGTATCAGATGTAATGCAGGGTTTCAAATAAATAACTAGTTTTATGTTACGCTATGTTATCTGAAAACAACCCTGACCTTAGGAAAGTCCATGGTTCTCTGGTGGTATGGGTGATAGACAAGCCTAACTTAAAAGGTGGAGTTTTTCAACAAACAAAAAAATACAAAGTCAGTGTATCCCTACTTTCTTCATTTCTAAACACAATCCCCCTTTTCTTTTCAAAGCACTTGCAAACAGTTTGCCCCATCCTGATGTTCTGCCAATGCCTGATACAAACAATAAAGAAATGAAAGTTTATTTTTAACGCTTCCCTATGTGTAAAATCCCCTTCAAACTCCCTTTGTTCCACAGCAGATCTAGGCACACACACACAAAATTGGTGCTGTCACACAGAAGGTTTCATACAAATTGATCGTTACAGCTTTGAGAGCCATTAACAGGTTAAGATCATTAGCAGAGATTAAGAGCATTGTGCTGATATAATTAGAAAAAAAGCACACTTTGCTTTTCAGCTTTTTGTAGCCACACCATCTCACCTTCTTTAGAGCCAGATTTATTTTGGCTTTGTTAATGCTTCTGCTTTACTAGTCCTGCACCACTAACAGCTTTGGAAAACAGCCCAGGAGAATGAGCAGGTCGGCACGTCTGTCTCACTGCCAGCACACGACAACACACGCTTTGGCCAGCAAGTCATTAGGTCATTAGGTGTCAGTTCTAACTGCTGCTTGTTATCTGGTCAGGTTTAGGTTGATTTTAATCTAATCCTGGCCTAAATAGCTGCTGTTTTCTGAAGCCTGTTGGTCTTCTGCTGAGAGTCCTTGTCACAGGATCCTGAAACACAGAACCTCACCTCAGTGCTATCAGGAAAACCAGGTAACCCAGCACACGAACACATCCACCGCACCCTCCGTAAAACACACACAGCAAACAGGAAAAGATGACTTCTCAAAGAATCACTCACCATTTTCAGACTTCTGCAGGGAGTACTTGTAATTGACATTTACAGAACTACCAGATCCCATGTTCTCCAACCAATGCTCCAGTGTTGCAGACTGGCCCAGTGTCACCAAAACCACCGGAGAGAGGCAGCAAACACCATTCGGTCAGAATCAAAACAGCTGCAACATGTCCCACAGTGCTGAGAATCTACAATTAAATATATTAACACTTAAGATCAATGATCAGATGGCCTCTCATGCTCAATTACCACTACCAGGTTTTTACCCAGCTACTTGGGTGTCTTTCAGATGATCCAAAATGAGGATTTCTGTCTCACTCTTTCCAATTTCAAGTCAGCTATATAAATAGGAACCAGTTCAGCACCTTTCCTACTTGCATATCTAGATACTGTGACTATATGGCAGATGTATAAAAAGTTTTTCAGTACTGATCAGGAACTATAAAAGCCATGAAGTTGATTGATTTCCAGTCAGTATGTGCAGACAAATATTCATGCATGTAGTCACCTGTGAAGGATAACTCATTATGAGGGATGAACACACACAGTATTTAATCTTATTATCTGTGCAGTACCACAGCTGGAGGGTAGATAAGTCTAAAACAACAATTACCTATCATAAGAAAATAATCAGCTTTGTTAAACACTGCTTTCCTTTTCCTCATGTATATACTACAGTGTAGGAGCACATTATGCCATTGCTTGCCAGTATAAAAGGGCAGGACAGCCAGACTTTGGTAACTGGAAGGAAGCTCTGGTCAGAGCAAACAGATCCTATTTCCAGATCAGGTCAAATTCTGAAGTATCTCACTTTGAGGACAACCAGAATGCCATTCACAGGCACCTTTCCTCTGGTAAAAAACCCAGTCACACACTACTGCCAAAGCAGCCCCAGGCTGTATTGCAAAATGCTTAGATTTTTAATCTAACCCAGAATTTGCGGGGGGAGAAAGCTGAGAAATGGAAAGAAGGAAATAAACACCTGTAAAAATGTTAGGCCTGGTGCTTGCAGGAGACCACAGCTCAGAGGGTTTTGAGGAGTCAGGACAAAGCAACTACAGAGGTGCTTCTCCCCAGCAGAGAGAAAAGTCCTCCTTTCCTCACCTCCTGTAATCCTTGTGCCTCCTTCAATCTCCTTCCACCTACCCCACATCTCTCCTTCCAAAATAGCTCCCATCCACACAAATACTGATCACAGGAGCGTGTCCGGTGTTGCATAAGGTGAGCACGTGCCATGTTGGCTCAGGAAGGTGAGCCCTGCTCAGCCACACTGGAGCATGGCAAGGTTCCAGGGCAGAGCAAGTGCTGCAATTCTCTCCCTTGCCCTGGATGCCCAGTTGTACCATGGCATCTTCACAGTAACTGGGTAATGCAACAGGAAGGTACAAAGTAATGCTCTTATTTTATTCTAACACCATTTAATATCAGTGTCAGAAATGGCCTGAAATCACTGCTGAATTATATCCAACTTCATCTGGTGCTTTACAGCCTTTATGCTTAATTAATGCAGGTGCTCTGACAACTTTTCAGGTTAACTATTCCAAGGGACAATTGCATACAAAATCAGGATCCCTAACACTTAAGGGGCTCTTATTTGTAACCTCCTGTGCCAGCTTCAAGGGGAGGAGGTGGCTTCGGCTTTTGGAAGAGATGAGTACCTTTAAAGATACCCTTAAAAATGCAAAAAAGTCCTTTTTCAGGAACTAGAACACTTCCAGATGATTTTTGAAAAACAGAGAACAGATTTGAAGCAAACACTTAAGTACAGGGTTTGGTACTTTGCTTTAAGAATGCGTTCAGAGGTACTGCCTGTCTGTTTTGTTGAAATGGGACTTTGGAATTAAGATTACCTTTGGAAACACAGAATAAAGTTTTCCCTCATTTCCTTCCTAATCTGCAAAGCAAAGACATTTGTTATTCAGGCAGCCCTACTTGAAACAAATTTTGGCCATCCATCCCAGGAAATGGCTTAGTATTACTGTGCTCTAGGAGCACCTGTGGAGTACCAGCATAGGCAACAGCACCTACCTGTTTATCCTATGAACAGGTTTATCAACAGGTCCCTCCCAAGCAGCTCCTGGAGCTGTGAACTCTTTCAAGTTTATTACCCTCAAATTTTTGTGAGGACCACAGCCCAAAGAGTGCACAGCAGTAAACCAGAATTCAGTGAAATCAAACCTGTTCCAGAGGTGGGAGGAGTGAGAAAAAAATCCACCAGTCCAACTGCTCAGCACCTCTGATTCTTCCTCATCCACCCAACAGTGAGGTGCACCCTTCCCTTCCTAAGGAAAGGCACAACCTGGAAGACTTGAAGTTCAACAGCAGCATCAGCTCAAATACAGGCTGTCCTAAACAGCCAGGTGAGACAACATGATGCATCGAGGGAATGACCAGCCACTGACTGCTCCTTCCTCTCCATGCTCTTGGCCACCATTCAGGGTCTCAGTAGGGAAGTGGTCACGGACACGTAGGGAAGATGTTCCCTGTTCACCAGAGGTAATATTCCACAGGCAGGAGAAACACAAAAGCCAGGCTCCAGAAACTTCACGAGCCATTGGATACCACTTCTTGGAAGTCTTGAAACGCAAGCTGCTGACTTGCTTAATTACAGTCTCTAATACCACAAAACTCAGGAAAACTCACGTAAATCCATTTGGGTCAAGCACCCCAAAACAGGAACAACAAAAACCTAAGTCAGCTTCCTGCCTTAGCACAAATATTATTCTAACTTCTTCATAACAAAAACAAGTGACAGCATTAACTAAATCCTACATACTCTGAGCCTGTGCACATTGCAGATCTGTGCAGAACTGGGTGCCTGACCCACAGGCCAGGAACACCACAGCTAACAGGAATCCTACTCTGAAACATGGCTCCTAGGAAAAGTGACACTGCATGGATCATACACAACAGGAGCCCCACTAACCTGCCCATTTTATAGACAGTCCAGTAGCTGAGGGAACAGATGAGCAGAACATGGAAGACAAACTTACTGAGAGTTTAACAGGGAAAAACCTGAAAGACACTGGAGCAAAAGTTTCGCTGAAAGAAAAACAGCAACAGTTTAAGAGCTACAGATTAATTGATAAAATAACCCAATACTTCTCCCAAGAAAGCAAATCTCAGGTAGCACTAGGGAAAGTGATAATCCTGCCTTGCTCCCAAGAGTAAATACTTATGTATGGCCCATGTGTACATTGGGTTCAGCACATCTTGTAGCTGGAAAGGAGATGGTGAAGCTTGTTTTATTTTTATACATACACCCACACTGTTACTGCACTGCCAAAAAAGTCAGTTTCAGATACAAAAGCCCCAAATGCAGTTTTATACAGCTCAGCATATAAAAAGGATATTTCACCTCTAACTATGGGCGTTGAACACAAAACCCTGTCACAAAAATAAAATGAAAAATGCAACTTACCTTGCCAATTCCTAAATTGGGATTTGTTGAGATAAACACAATAGAAGCTCTCCGCTTGGTAGATTTTTGTTCTGTTCTCTACTCAAAGAAGTGAATGATCTTTGAAGTGATTGGTTTGATTACAGATGCAGAAACTCCTCCTCAGAATGCAATCAAGTGAGGTGCTCCCTTGGGCACGCAGCAGGACAGGCCATGTCGTTGTACATGTGCAGCCCAGAAGAGGTGTGGACCCCTCGACTTATTTACTGCCTTAAAGAATCCTCTCTCATGTGATCCTTAAGAAAGGCTACAGACCTGACCTGGATTAGGATTACTGAAAGGATTATAAATGAGATACACAGCATGTTAGCCTCTCCCATCTTAAGAGTCAGCTCTTACACACTTGCAAGTCACCTCTTGCTAAATGCAAACTTACAGAGAAAAAATAATTAACGGTTTCACCTTTTACCTCTGTTGGACTGTAGCTTTGTAGCTAGGCGATCTATACTGCAGAAAGGAAAGGATGGGAAAAAAGCAAGGATTACTTACCTCAGTTCTATTACATAACAATTCTAAGGCTTGAGAAAGCAGAAAAACTACTTTCTTTTGAAAAGTGGACAAACGAAGCAGATGAAATCTTTAACAGAAATAAGTGATCCTTCATTTTTAAAGATGTAAACATGATAGAACCATAGAATGCCATGCTCAAGAAGTACCTTAAAGATCATCTAGTCCAACCTTTCTTGGCAAAAATTACCACAAAATACCCAAACCTGCCAAAATAATGCTTCAGCACTACACTTTAATGTTTCCAGCATTAAGAGTTTTATTTAAAGTATTAGCAATCCCATCTCTGCACTTTTATCAAATTTCAATTCTTATTAAAAGTAGCTCAGCTACTCACAGGTTAAATCACCTAATTACTATGATGTGTCATTTACCACTTCATTAGTATTTATATTTTTAGCTTGTCATTAGACTAAAACCACAAAGTATGTTTTTGATTAGCACAAGAAAAGCATTCTAGGTGGCAGAAAGCTTTTTATTGGCAAGGAGCATGTTGGAGTCTTTATTATCACACAAAATGCAAGGCTTTCAAGAAAATAATTTAGAAGAAAAAACCTTAATTTCTTCTTTAAACCTCACAAGCATGAACAGCTGCCAAGACCCAAACACAACACAGTAAATTTTTTCCTGAATATTCATGGATACTTGTGATTTATACACACCAGATCTGCTTGTACACATTAAAACATACATTTGGTTAAATTTACATACCAGTAGCATCTGGGCACACCCCTGCCAGCAGATAATCAGCCTAATGCTGCAGAGGTCAGGATGACAAAACAAAGCCACACCTGGAAGGATCCTTGTGTTGTAGGTGGCTGTTATTTAAGGAAAACCTGGTGCCATCAGGTGTCAGTGCCTGCTCTGTGATTTAAAACAATGGCATTCTGCAATCCCAAAGATAGTGAGCACTGTTACATCTTCCTCCAGGAACTCTGTTCAGATTTATCCTTCTGGCATCCAACTGCTGTACAAACTGGGTCAGGGCAAAGCTCGCAGCACATTCATCCAGTCAGGAGGACAGGATGCAGATAAGCAGGTTATGAGACTCAGCACAAGGAGATAAAGGGCCCACAGCTCCAGAAGGTGCTCTCGGAGTAGTCTGCATAACCAGTGCACAAACATTGCACCAGCACAGCACAGATCTGGAAATGGTGCTCTGACCACACCTTCCCTCAGGTGAAGTTCTGTCCAGTGCAGAAGGGGACCACTAAGCTTTACATAATTCAGTATCCACTGGTCTTGACTCTTCAAATCCTTCACTATTTCCAGGGTACAATTAAGTGCCTAAATTCAATATGAAGCCACAGCACAACCCAACAAAAACCCCACTGCTCCACATTGTAGAAACAACTTATAAACTTACTATTGCAGGCAATTTTATTTGATCACAAGAAAACATATGTCCCCCTGTAAACATCAATGCTACCCAACACAAGTTTCTCTCATCTAGCAGGGAGCAAAGTATTATCACACTTCTTGAAACAGCTCCCGATTGCTGATAAATCAAATAACTCTAGTCTAAAGCTCTGCATGCTGCTGACTGTTACATCTGGCCCTGCTAGGCTCATATCACCAATCCCTCACAGGTGAGGGGGAAGGATGAGCACATGCAAGTAACCCCACACACCTCCAGAAATCAATCAGCTGCATCTTTTTATTTCATCATGTTCAGACCTACAGGCCATGTAAAGTACAAAAATTTATTTGTTAGCACAGAACTACATTGCAGTTACATAACTCTTACCAAAACCAGTAAAAGCCATTTTTTACCAGTCACATCTGCTAGAACATCAATTACAATAAAATTCAAACATCCATTACAGTTCATTAAGAGGATCACCTGCAACACTTTAAAGAGTTAACAAGTCACTAGTTCCCAAATGGTTCACATAATTAATAAGCCAAAACGACTGTACTGCTCCCAAGAGTTATTTTAGAAGCATATGCTGATCTTGCAAAGCTTCAGCTTTTCACTCAGTCTGCTGAAATAGAAAAATAGATAAGAGAGCACAAGTTGGTATAGAGTTACAAAAAACCAAACTCCGTACAATCTCTAAAAGGAATTACTCCTGCTAAAATCAGATCTGAAATATCTTTCTCTAAGTACATTGAAACTGCCACATAAGGCACCTTGTGAGTTCAAGGACTTGGACTTGTTCCGCAAGTTGACAGGACAAACCCCTCAGAGGGTGCTGCTCACAATGCCACTGCTGAGCAGCTGTTGCCAGCGAAGCTCAATTTCTTCTGGTGCTAATGCACCACCCCCTCCTGCTGGGATTCCTGTCAACCACCTGGGGACAAGGGAGTGCTGGACTGGGGACTGGTAAAACCTGCCAAAACATTGCCAGAGAGAACCTCTACCTCAAGTCACAACACCCACCCCCTTCCTCTCTGATCAAGCACTTTTCCCTAAGATAATGTCCAAGAGTTTCACTGAGCAAGTCAGTACTTAGTGACCTTTAAAACAACAAGGGAAGGTATTTACCCAAGGGCAATAAGCAAACCAAGGACAGCAGCAGGAGTTCAGATTAGGTCACTGCAGCACTTTGTCTCTCAATGACTCTGCAGCCAAAATGTTCAAATGCAAGTACAACATGCTACTTACACCTCTGCTCCTTACAGCTCTTCACTGCTCAGTTCGGATCCATGTCTGGTACTTGTCTGGGAATGCAGCACTCATCACTGTAGTGTACACTGTGTTACTGGCAGGGAGAGAGAAAGAGTCAGTGACATCCCAAAGGCTGCAACACTAATTTATACAGCTAGCAAAGCAGCTCGAGTGGAAACAAGTGTTCTGCTTAGGTACAGAAGGGTTAGAAAGACTGAGAAAAGCTGATGGAATTGAAGGCTTCTGGCACAGATTTTTAGTGTTGTCTCCCCCAATCAGTACAGCAAAGCAATGGTATTTCCACATCCATTTCATCACTGTATTAAACAATTGGTACTGTTCATCTCAGCTCTAACAGATACAAACTCTCCCAATTTCCTCACATTTACAAGACAGCAAAGAGGTCCTGGTATTAACTTAGAGGAAGCCATTGCAAAGCTCCAGTGAGAATGAGTGATCCAGAGAATATACTGATCTCTGTGTAAAACATAACAGGATAACCTGTGTGTTGCAAAGGTGTGATTTCTGGAACAATACAGAACAAGATACTGAAGTTCATCTCTCGAAAACACAGTAAATCACATCTAAAAGTTTGTCCCATTTACTTTTATCCTTTTTACACATCAAGCAGACCTACATCAGAACATCCAAAAAAAGCCACTCTCAGTGTTAACACCCACCCAAAAGTTCCAGAAGTGGACAAGTCCAGCTGGAAAGTCCTGCTGTTCCTCCAAAGGAGTCATGTGTTTCACTACTCCAAAACGACTTCCCACTACCAGACTGAGCCCAACCAAGTGTAGCTTTTTGGATGGAGGGGCAGACCCATGACAAAGAGCATTGTAGAAGTGAAAATGGTGCCACAAACACAAGCCAAAATCTAAGCTGGGAAGCCACAAGACACTCAGACACAGAGTGAGACTCTCAGAAAGCTCCGATTGACTTTGAAGTGGCCTGAGGCATAAGCAGGAGGCACAGATCTTCTCAGTCTAATACTTACATGTTTAAGACTGGCTTCACTGACAACACCTGTACAGAAAGTTTGAAGAGTTGTCATTTTCGTAGATGAAAAGGGAATTAAAAGGCTATTTATGAACAGCAGCAGGGTGAAGTTATAAAAACAGTAATGTGAAGTTAGGGAGTTTTCCAGCTTTTTTTACCATCTGGCCATTTACAGAATTACTTTGGAAAGCCCTCTGAAATACCCATTTCAATTCCCAAAGCACTGATGTCTGACTAACACTGTCTGCCTGCTGTAACATCAGTAATTTTGCTTGAAATAAGGAACTGCAAAGATGATGGGATTCACCTCTTGCACTTTCCACCTGGATTGGCAGACTATTACAAAATGCCTACGCACAGGAATTCAGAAGCATTTTAACAAACTTTGTCTTCACCTCTCCAAAGATGACTGTGCAGTACAGCTTGTTCCCCACAAAAAAAAGCAGCTTTTAGATCCCCAACCAAACTACTGCATTTCTGCTTTGACAAAACTTGAAGTGAAAATCACAATGCAGAATTAAAGAAATACCTTAAAGAGCGTATCAAAATTGATGTTCTGCTGTCCAGTAGCATTGAGAGCTTTGATGGCTGCAGTTCTGCAGGAAAACACAGTATCATTAACACACTTTCCTGTTCCAAAGGCTACAAAGCATCAACATAA